GTGTTTAACCATGACCTGTTGTTTCAGTACCCTGAAAGAGAATGAGGAGGCTGTGATTAAAACGTTCTCTCCCTCGGAGGCTGTAGTTGACTTTGATCCTCTGACAGATGACTTCTTCACAAAGCCAGTATTATTGGACAAAAGTAAGTAATGACTTCAGGTAAATTGTTACTTCAATTCATTGTGCAAAACTTGCTATATTTACATATTTAATGTTGCATAATGCAATAGGGTTTCATGATCCTTTGTTTTATACCAAATTTGACTGAAAAAACTCCCTTACTATTGTACTTTTTTATGCACCACATTTGTTATACGTAGGTATTTTGGGGAAGACAGAGTGTTGCCAACTGAAATTTGATCACTATACAAAAAAGTATGGCCCTTTTATGTTAATGTTTTTGTCTAAGAAAATTTGGAATATGGGCAAAATGAGGCAATCTTTATCTGTGAAGCCAATATCAGAGCACAATTACCATATGGCCAATGTAATTAAGTATGATATGTTTTCAACACTGAGGAATATACTATAATTTCTACTTGTTACATTTTATAATCAATATTTTGATTTATTTTATTGCTAAAAGGCCTCAGTAGTGCAACACTTGACCAGTTAGTCTCAATAGTAAATGAACACTGTAAGGTATGTGACAAGCATATATTGTTTAGCAGCCTTAGAATGGTCTTAATGCATTCATATACAAATGAACAGATTCTGATTTATCAAGGTTCTATTAACTTCCTGAAAAATACCACAGATAAAGAATGACTCACATTGTTATTTAATGACCAAATTTCATAGGTTATAACAAATGTTGTTGACAATTTGGTTTGATTGACAGACAGAATGGGGATACCATTGCACGATTTCTAATTTCTTATACTGCTTGTAGTTGCCAGTATTGGGCAGAGACTTGCCAGTCCAGAATTCCAGCCAGAGGAGGCAGGGTCCTTGCATCCTCGCCACAAGCATTTGCTGATCCGCAGGTCACTTAGGTGTAAGGTAGGCAGAAGTCACATGGGCTTCAACAAGCTCCCATTTGTGTGTGGACTGCAATAAACACAAGACCAAAATTTGAGTTGCTCCTCTCTTGTAACATACAAGTAGCTTCTTGTGGGTCTGTTGAAGCAGTTCTTGGCAGAGAGATATTTATGAATTTAACTTCTTAGTTCTGTAAAAACTGTAAAAAAAAAAAAATGAAAAAAGTGATGAAACCTGCAGTATACCTGCATCTGCAGTCAAAAGGGGTGTGTAATACAGGGTAACAAGATCGCAATGACCTTTAGCACCAGGTCGACACTAAATCCTGTAGAAAATATTCCAGACCACAACTTTTAAACCTTGATATGATAACTTAATGAAACATGAAGGATAACTGCATCACCTACTGAAGGTGTGCACTGCACAAAAATAAGGTTACCTTGATCTTCACATCAAGGTCAAAGGTCAATTAAGTTCAAAAGTTAAAAATTACCTGGTTAGATTTTGTCTGGATGATAGCTAACCATGAAAGATATCTTATGAAACTTGAAGAGTACCTACATCAACCCCCGAAGGTGTGTAATGCACTGTAATTTAGCCAGTGTTACCTTGACCTGAAGCTAAAAGGTGTAACATTTCTGGGAAAACTTGTCCTGACCATAAGTTTTAAATTGTTTAAGATATTTTGATGAAAACTGCAGTATACTTTCACAAGCCAAAGATGTATAATTAGGTCATAATGACTTTTACCTCCAGGTCAAAAGTCATCTTAAAAAAAATGCATAGTCTTAGTAAAATGTAACTTGGAGCAATACCGCATCAACCACAAGATGTTTGCAGTGTTATATAATTTTATATAATGTCATCAGGACATTCACTTCTAGGTCAAAGGTCAAATAAGTGCAAAGCAAGTATGCATATTGACTGATAAAGGGAAACATTTGTTTGCAAAAGCTTATCTATAGTTGGCCATAACAGGATCCATTTAATACAATAAAGGTTAAAATGTTGGTCTTGCATTTCAGGAATGTGAACACAACTTGAGCAAACCAGAATTTAATCCAGTTTCTATAAAGTTTAAGATCCAGTTGATAGCACTGTAAGTATTGCTTGTGCTTTTCTCTTACTTTTGTTTTTCTCCTTTTTCAATGACGGCTTGGGACCAGCTTTGAATTGATCCTCAGGGTTGAATTTTATGTACTTTTAATGAAAAGGAAGTTTTACCAAAATTATTATTACATCTGTCTGTCAACATTTCTAGACATTTTCTCAGTGTCCAGGATTATGTTATTCCTAAAATGCTACATGGTGATATGCTGTGATATGAAGATGTGCAGAAAGGGTTTAACAAGTTCCTAAATTCCAGGTCAAGGTTACTTTAAAATAAAACGAGATATATTTTCAAAATTATTTTATTGCACTTTCTGACACACCACGTTTTTTTTGGGGGGGGGGTTTTCATAAATTTTATTTTTTAAATATTCGAGGTCATAGTTACCTGTCAAGATCAAACAGGGCCAATATGCTGTCAAAACTTCGTGGTACGGTCCTTTGTCTGTGTTCATCACTGTTAAGATCAAACAGGGCCAATATACTGTCAAAACTTCATGGTAGGGTCCTTTGTCTGTGTTCATTTTGATATTAAGTGGTATTTGGCGGGTGGTCTATGTGAATGATGCTATAATATCCAAATCCAAAATCCAAGGAGGCCACCATCGGTCACTTCTAATTGATTGAGACTTCAAGTTTTGTTTTATTGGTTAGATTTTGTTCCTACTTCAATTTAAATGGTACTTAGTGATAAGTCTACATTGTGAATACGGTTATACATATGTATTATCCAAATTCTAAAATCCAAGATGGCCACCATGGCTTATTACTTGCCCTTTATGACCTTGTAGTATCCTGGTCTTGCATCTTTATTACCTCAGTTCAAATAAACATTGAGATGAAATTATTCAGTTGGTGCCTTCATTCTGATATTGTGTATTTTTCAGTTTATTTTTACTTATTGTTTATTAAATAATTTGTTAATGAAAGACATATGGTGGGTACATTTTGATACAAAAAACAATGTAGACCAAGATCTATTGGCGAAAGAAAATGGGCAAAAGTGAAGTCATCAGGAGGTTTTATATAACTCTCAGAGACAGTTTTTTAGAAAGTTTTATATTTTATATGCCTAATAGATAATTCATCAGGATTTGTGATATTATATTTATGTTATATAGAAATACTACTGTGTTATCAAAATTGATGACTGTGTATATTGTAGAGTTATTAACCATTTGTGATTAGTTTGATTTTTGTTTGCAGACTTCATGTTCCAGAGATAAGAATTTTTTCGCCTACAGAACTTAAACACAAAAAGGTACGTTAAAAAATGTAAAATATCACCTGACCACAAGGCAGCAAAAGTAAATATATTAGCAAGCCACAAAGGAAAGAACAATAAATGTTGTTCCTCATTCTATCATAAGTTATCAAAAAGTAAGCGTTATTCTGTACAGTATAGGGGAGACAACTCTCTGCTTAAGTTGATTTTAAAATCTTGTGAATTTATTTCCACTAAAATGTTTTGATGCAAGGCTTACCATTCATAAATTTTTGTACTAAAATGGCAGGAAATTTCTTCAGGGTCTAATATTGATGCAGTTTTTTACTTCTTTTATGTTTTACTTTTTCACCTGAAATAAACAGGTTCAAGTTTCTGGGGTAAGAATGATGTATGAACAGTCTAGTGTTAGGTGGTGTAGACATGGTAAAACAAGCCATGATAATCAAGTGTTGTCCCTGTGGAACCCTGTATTTTGATTTAATGATGCTGTTTGTGTTGACACAGGAGTGTAAGATTGTGTTGTCCGTGTGTAACCCTGCTGGGTACAACACAACTGTCAGTCTACTACCCGTAAAGGAACAGGACGACTACAGCAACTCAAAGGTAGGCTTACAGTAACTGATACAGTAAACATACACAGGTAGGCTTACAATAACTGAT